CTCTCTCTCTCTCTCTCTCTCTCTCTCTCTCTCTCTCTCTCTCTCTCTCTCTCTCTCTCTCTCTCTCTTTTTCTCTCGCTCATGCGTGCCCGCCGCCCGTCGCCCGACTGCTCGCTCAGCATTTGAGTGTGCACCGACGCGGATGAGTGCACGCTCATCCGCGTGCGCTTCGTTATGAACGTTTTCGACCGTTTCGTCCTGCCGGGACCTGCCCGACTACGCTGTTGTTGTTGGGTTTTTTTTTTTTTTTTTTCCCATCATCCTGTCAGGTTTTCGGATGGACACAACCCCCACAACCCCCACAACCCCGCCCCCACCCCTTCTCCCGCGCCCACGACCCACAAACCCGACACCGACCCTTCCCCTCCCCGGTACACGCCCCTGCCGCGAAAGCGCTCGAGGCGCTGAAGGCGCGCTCGAGCGCGCTTTTGAGCGCCGCTCAAAAAATCGAGTGCCAGGCCCGCGCTGATTGAGCGCGCGGTTTCACAGCTCCTGATGAGTCTGTTTGCGGGACAGACGAAACGCGTAGAGGTATTGGCCGCGTGACTGGGTTTTTGTTTTTGGCAATAGGATTCGTGCTTCTCTTGAGGTCCATATTGTATGGGTGTATCTTTCGTCTTGCCTCTGATTGCACTCGTTCTTGATTGCTTGTACTTGGCGTGCCCAACGGAATATTTGATATTGGTGTATTTTGCTCCTCCGTTCTCATGCTTGGGCAGTCTGGCCGGACTGTCTTCTCTTTTAGGGCCGCATAGTTCCATGGAGGCGCCATGGGCTTCCTAGCAGGACACTACAGCTTTGAGTTACCTGAGACCGCTCAGCTGTTGGGTGGTGCCCGGGGGCTCTACCCCCCCTCTGTCCTTCGGGACATCCGTCAAATTTAAATTGGAATGATACAGAAAAGGTTTGTGCTGCCCCTTCTCGTGCAGCCACAGTGCGGCCGTGAGACCCCAGATCAGATGGCAGGAAGTGATGCGTACTCGAAACCAAGTGTAAGCTTTGCCAGGGAGGGCTCCCACTACCTCCACCCCACTAGCACCTAACCAGGCTACCGTCTTCCCCCGAACATAACGCACCCTAAAAATGAATGTACACAAGTTGTATTTCCCGCCAGATACAACCAAAATGATGGTGCGTTGTGTTCGGGGGAAGACGGTAGGTGCGGCGGTATCTGATTGTAACCAGCCCAATACTAAGTAGGAAAGCTTCGGTGGGAGTACGCCATGAAACGGGCGACATATCTGCTGGACTTCTCCTCCTTTGCTTTTCTGCTGGACTTCTCCTCCTTTGCTTTTTGAGGTGGACACACTTGTTTTCCTGTTCTTGTCAAAATGCCATCAACTCTTCAAAGCGGCCAAGGAGCGCTCATCAGAGAAGAAAAAAAAGAAGAAGGTGACGACTCACTGACGAGGAAGAAGAAGAAGAAGAAAAGTGAGGATGGCCGAGGGAAAAAGCCATAGCTCGCTCGTTTTTTAATGGATTCGGGCGAAGAAAAATTTTACCTGGGGGTTTTGATGCATTGCGGATAGATTGGGCATGACATTTTTTGTGTTTGAGCAGCGGTTTGGTCGGCACAGGCTGTGGAGGCTGCGCGCTCGCCGGTTCCGAATAGAAACGGGCGAGGTGTGGGTCTATCCCGGGGTTCTGACCCTGGGCGAGTCCACTACTGTAGTTAGTTTTGTGTTAGAGTGTTACAGCCTTCCCCCGAATACAACGTACGGTCATTATAGCTGAATTCAGACTGAAAGATGCCCCAAATTCAGGTATAATGACCGTACGTTGCATTCGGGGGAAGACTGTAGTTTTTGTGTTGCAAGAATCGGAGGTTGGGCGGTGCGCAAGTGAAAACAGGTGGAATCGGGAAGGAAAATGGACGGAAAGAAGAGGAAGAGGACCGAGAGTAGGAGAGGATGACCAAAAAGGAGGGCATCAAGAAAGGGAAGCGAGAGCAGAATAGCGGAAGGACAAAGAGGAGAGAACTGTCAGGGGCAGGGAATAACAGCAATATATCTTTCCGTATTCTAGCGAAAGATTCACTCTCGTTTTCCTCAAATGCACCGAGCTCATTTGACTCCAGATTGTATGCCCATGATCATGGCAGTGACCATGCCATCGTGCTCTCCTTCGGGGATGCTCTGTTCCCCTCCATGATGGTGCGGGCTGCCCATGCGATGTTGTTCGTCACCATGGTTGTCCTTTTTCGTCGTGGCTGTGCAAATCCCGATGGTGTGGCCACTGGCCTCTTTTGGGGAGCGAGATGAGGGGCGCAGGGAGTGATCGATCGTGGCTGGCTGCTGACACGTTTGCCGCAGTTGCTCGATCGTCGATTCATTCGCATCCCGCTGCCTACGGTCAAGGCTGTTGTGTCCTGCGGTGTATCTTCTCACGTGCTAGCAGAAGATTCATTCTCATTTTGCGCATTTGGCAAATAGTGGAGCAAAGCCTACATCAAGGTCCTCGTCATCGACAGCCAAGCTTGCATCCCCTCCGCGATCGAGACGGCCGCTCGTGGCCACTCCAGCTCATCATGATTGTAGTCGTGGTTATCCTGCTCGTTGCCATCTCATATTTGCATTCATGCCCGCTTGTGGATTATGCTCGAGACTCGAGTTGCTCGTGGCTGTCACCGGGTTCATCTTGCTTGCAGAGGTGGTAGTCTGCTGACTCTGCTTCGCCCGTGCGGCCCTTCACACTGACACCTTCCTCAAGCTCGAAGTCACTCCATCTTGGATCCGATATAACTGTCGATCAGCTCAAGGTTGCGCTCAATTAAGTTGGTGGAGAGTTGTACGAACCTGGCTGGGATCATGGCTAGGTACGTTTACTAACGAAGGAGAGTGAGAGGTAGGAGATCGATGGGGAAGGAAGACGATGAGAATGGAAACAGCGATGAGAAAGAGGAGGGGATCAGTGGGCGAAAGAAGGAATACGACATGAGTGAGTGAATATACATAGAGAGAGAGAGAGAGAGGGAAAGAGGGAGGACTCACGTCGACATGGGAAGCAACATACCAGCGATGCGGGAGATACAGTGCCAACCTGCACGCGAGTCCAGATCACAAACCGGGTTGCATCGGGTGATTTGTAGTACCCCGTGAACTTGGCCAGGAACCTGGCCAGGTACGTTGAGTGTAGAAAGGAAACCAATGGAGGAGTGATAAAGGGGAAGAGAGAGAAGTAGTGAGCAGAGGTACGAGATGAGGGGCGATTCCAGCTGATATGGCACCGTATCTTTCCATATTCTAGCGGAAGATTCACTCTCATTTTGCATTTGGTGAGCGCTGAGCAGTGTGCCGGGGACCTTGTTGCTCCTCATGTTCATCCGCTCGCCATCATCCTGGGGATAATTGTACTCATCCACGTCGTGCCACCCATGATCACCATGATGCAGATCACTTAGTCTATGTCGTTTGATAAAAATCCCAATGTTGATTATCACCACGCTGCCGCTTGTGCCGTTGTTAAGCGGGAGATAGTCGGGCCAGGGGCGTTTTCTGATGATCTGCCTGAGACTGCCTGGGCTTACCTTAAGCTCGCTCGTGTCTGGCCTTAGCTGAGGCCTGGTTGGTGAAGGCGGTATGACTTGCGAGAGAGCGCACAGGTGACGAACGGGAGAGCGACGACGAAGTGTGAGAGAACAGGTAGGGATGAGCCAGAGCGAAAGTGCATGGGGGATGAGCCAGAGCGAAAGTAATTGGGCGAGGTGAGAAGCGAAGGTAGGAGAAAGTTCACCTTCGTTGTCCCTCCCTGCGTATAGGAGACAGTGTAAGGGACTGGGGTTGGAAGATGCAATCAACATGACCAGGGTGTGAGTGAGAAACACTGAAACAGTGAGGGACTGCGAACGCAAGGAAAGAAAAGAGAATAGAGAAGAAGGAAAAGGGACCGCTGATGCGGCTACTGTTTTTTTTTTTAATACTGCGGCAGTGACCTCTGAACGGCCATTGTTTCCCTCCTCAGATTGCTGCTGCATGTCGCGGGGCTACTGCTGCTACGAGTTGCTGGTCATAGGGTTGCTGCAGGGGCCGGAGGTGCAGACATAGCAAGGATTCACAGAGTGAGCTCGCTTCTCGATTTTATGGGTGATGGTGCATGACCGTTCTTAGTTGGTGGAGTGTTTGTCTCATTCCTCTTAACGGCTGGGGCCAGTGCCGCTGCAGAGGTGGTTGCTTCTGAGCATCGGCTGCCGCTGCATTTTATACTATCGTCTCTGTTTCGAAGTTTGGCAGCAAAATGTCGTCCGTTCGGAGTTTCCTTTGCAAAAATAGAGGTTTCGTTGCAGCTTTATAGCTGTCTCTTATACACATCTAGATGTGTATAAGAGACAGCATCATGCTACACATCTTATAGGACTATAAACACA